CTCTGTACTGGCTGGGGACGTCCCGGGGGGAAGAAAGTACAGTGTCCCAGCAACCAGAGTACCTGAAAGTGGAGATGCATGGGCCATAAGGACCAGGCAGCCGGCAGAGGCAGGAGGAGGCAGAGCCTGCCGGGGCCCCAGCAGGCTACAGACCGCCACCCACCTCCAGCCACGCACTTGCTGGTCAGCCGCCGCCGCACATCTGAAAGCTCTTCTCTATGTTAAGGATGCTTCATGCAGATAAGCACTAAAAAAATTTATCCATAAACTGTAGTAGTCCTTCCTTTGACTGTCAGGATTGAATGCCTGGGGCTTTACACCATTAAACTATCACATGAAAGCAAGTCCCAATACATAATTGATGTTTAAGAGGTGAAATGTGTCTTTGACCTACTCTGAAAACAGCGTTAGATTTCTCCACAATTATTTAAATCTGTAGCTCCCTTAAAAAGTTATATATATTATATATGTGTGTGTATTACATATATATTTACACACACACACACACTTGATCCAAATTAAAACATCGTAATTTAATTTGAAAAGTGACTACACCCAAGAGTCCTTTCCAAAAGGCTCCCGAAGTCCAGATGGCATTAAAGATACAAAATACATATATTAACTTTAGGCTCTAGTGAGAATGTCCTTTAATTAAAACCAAAACTATTTGAAAGGCCATTTCAAAATGTTAAGGATAAGGAATGAATCTGCCAAGCTGAGGGCCCCTTCACCCTGCAGGGGTCTAGGTCCTGTCCTGTGCAGCCCTGGGACTAGTTTGTGGGTTCCTCAGCAGCACGGAGGTTTTTGCATTTCATTTGTACCACTCATGCAGACCCTTTACACAGCAGCTGATTTACAAATATATACTGATTTGATGACTTAGGGACATGGTGGCTCTACTGGCAGAGGGCTATGTATCTTCAAGAAGTTCCAGTTGTGGTGCTGTTGCTGAAACGTTCCTTCTGGCCTGACACTCACCTGAAGATCATTGTCTTCCATTTTTGAAGATGAGCATTGGAGGGATGGCAGTTGTTAGTACGAACCAAGTGAGCCATTCGGGCGTCTGGGAGAAGAACTGCCCCCAGAGCCTGCAGCAGCTGGCGGGGACAGCGCACCACTCCTTCCGTCGTCAAATGTGTAGGACATCCTCCACGGGACACTCATGTTGGTCACTGGGGATCTGAGTATGCAAAAAACCCATCCTGCTACACTGTACTGTACTGTACTACTGTATTCCACTGCTATACTACACTATGCTATGCTATACTGTCTATGCTATACTGTGCTATTCTGTGCTATGCAATGCCAACCCCTGCTTTACTATACTGTATTACACTGCTATACTATACTATACAGTATTATGCTATTATACATAATACCATATGCTATGCAATGCCATACCATACTGTATTATACTGCTATGCTATGCTATTCGACTATACTATGCTGCTATGCTACAGTACTACACTATACCATACCATACCATACCACTATGCTATGCTATGCTGTGCTATGCCATCCCTGCCACACCAGAGCAGAGATTTCCCAATGGTGGGGCACGGCACAGCGATGTGCCACACAAATGGGTTATAGAAGTGCAGGTACACTGCTCCTGAGACACTTCTCTCTCAGCCCTTGGTGTGGCTGGGCAGGGCCTGGGGCAGCTGAAGCCCTGGGGATGGTCATCTTCGCCTACAGGCAGCTGTGACCAGTTCCCTGCAGTAGGACACTCGTGCTTTCTCTGTGGGCTACGAGATAAAACTGCTTGAGAAACAGTGGCCTAGAGCAGTGATTTTTTTTTTCCAATTTTCCTTTTTTTTCTCTTCTGTGTGTTAAGTTCTTAGAACCCTATGTGCAAAGGAAATCTCACACTGAAGCTAAAAACAGAGATAAAAGGATGTTTTTTTTTTTCCTGGACCTTTCCCATAGCTACTGAGAAGACTCCCTGGAGCCCAGGATATTCTGAAAAGTACAGTTTAAAAAACACTGGTCTAACCTGCCACGGTGACAGCTGACACGAGGTTTACCAGAAGGCCAGCAGGGTTTTCTCGCTAACACTACAGAAGGACCAGGGTGGCCTTGCGTAACTAGGAGGAATCACCACGCCGAAGAGACACCCGCACTCCAAGCAGAGGGACAGCAGGTGTCACGGCACATGGCGCGCAGAGACCCACATGTGTCCACTTGGCTGGCACACAGACAACTCACGTGGACCCATCATGAGGTGGAGCTCGAGAAGCACAAGTGTGAAGGTCTTTGGGGGCCGACCTAACTAGTTGTGACTTTTTCTCGAGGATTATTAGGAAGCGTGGAAGAGGCTTAGACAAGGGATCCCTGGTGACACCGGTGTGGAAAACAACTGGTTATCGCCAGGCCAGTGACAGAGAGACCAGTTATTATCCCGCACAGATGCTAAAAACAGAGAATGCAAGAACATGCTCCTCTAGGACTGTGGAGCACAAGCCAAGAGTCATCGGGTGCAGCAGATGAAACCCCCCGCAAACCAACCTCAGTATCGTTTCACTGGTAGAGCAGTTCTCAAAAGGGATCACGTAGCCAACTTCATGGCCAATGTTAACATCCATTTCATCTGCTACCCGTAAGGCGAGCTGGACTGCAGCCTGCTTGTGGGCCTGTGTGCATACCACACCCCCGTGCTCGTAGCGGACAGAAAGGCAATATTCAGCACACCACTGAGGAACCTTACAGGGAAAAAGGAGACAGGATCAGCTCCCACTAGGAAAACAACAGAAAACCAAGGATTCACCTCATACATTTGTAAGACAGAATTTTTTCATCTAGTGTGTCTCTGGTGGGCTGCATTACAGCTTAGTGAAACACTGAACAATCTGTGTTTATGCATAGTTATTACTAGTAAATAAAGTTAAGAATAAATAGGAGTTAGCAGGAACTGTGAAAGTTTGACTCCCAGATTTAAAAAAACAGGTAAAAATAAAAGGCAAAATAAAAAAATATTTTTAACCTCAGCTGTATTTCTGAGAAGACAAATGTACTTGCAGATTATTATTTTCTTTCTGGTTACAAGAAGTCTCCATCAAAAACATGGCTTTTGTTATCGACTATTGTGTTTTAAGCAGTGTAAATATTAAATAGCATTTAGATGAAAAATAGTGACTTAAAACATTTATATTTTGTGTAAATGATCATTACAAAATAACCAGATAAGCCTACTTAACATTTCCCTGGTACTAAAAGCTAAAGTACACTGGCATTTATCATGTAAATACAATTTTAATAAGCCCAAGATCTGGAAAGAGTCATTTCCAAAGCTGCTTGAGTCATTTATTTAAAAAATCCTTTTATTGACAACTTATTATGGATCAACTTGATTTTTATCAAGTTCATTTGTACAAGAATTATTATAGTAGTGTTATAGTAGAACATACTGAATTCATTTGTATGCTACATCTTAAGGATCTGTCAATAAATCATGCTTTATTACATATATTTAAAAAATAAATCATTCTTAAAGTGTTTTTTAGTAGATCTAAGGTATTTGTAAGTTTTAACATTTTAAATTATCTCGAAATTTGCTATTTAACAGACCCATCATGGAATTTTTAGATTTTTATCCTCACTATAATTTGAAAGATAAACATAATATACTGGAAATCATAAGTAGCTCCACAGCCACCCGCTGCCGACTGCAATTTCCCCAGGACTGAAAGTGCAAATGCAGTGCTTCCATCTTAAGACAGGTGTCAGCCTGGTCAAACTAATCAGTAATTATTTACTCCCCACTTTGTCCTGTGGGAGATGAACATTTGAGATGCGGCCCTCAGGAAACCTGGAATCAAGGCACCATAACAGCGAGTAACAAGGCACCAACGACCCAAGTCAGATTCTGGGCCTGACCTGACCTGCCACTAGCTGGTTATTTGCAGATCAGACTCTAGGCTTCCATTTGCCTCCCTGTAAAACGGGCTGAATGCAGGAGAGTTACCCTTCAAGTCTGAGCTCCCGTGCCCTTTTCTCTGCAAGGCTTTCTGTGACCCCGTCGGCAGGAGCCCGCCATGTGCTTCCTGGTGACCAGCGCCAGGGTCACACTTCTTGCAGGTGCCGGTCCGTCCCGGTGCCCACCCACCCACCAGACGAGGAGCTGGGGGAGAACAGAGACCTATTGACCTCGGCCACCAAATAATCCCAAATAATTTTACTCAATAGATACTTGAATGAATAAATTATTATACTTAGCAGAAATACTTTTAAATTCTATGGTTCTATATACTCTTACCATGAGTTGCTTCACAACTGTCTCCCTCATTCCCTTCCAAGGAATTTTACATTTTTGCCAAATCCTAATTTTTTTACCAGATTCCCTTCACGTCATGCTCCATTATCTAACTCAAACATCATTATTGTGAAAAACTGTATTAAAACTGGTTGTTTGAATCTTTTTCTCCTCACTAGACTGGGAGAATATGAAGCTGCATCTGTGTGGTTCATATTTTTGCCAATACTTAACAGAGGACCTGATACTTAGCAGAGAGAATAAATATTTGGATGGATGGATGAATAATATAATAACTGAAAAGATGGACGAGAAGGGCTTGTAGCCAGGACTCAGCATGGTCGAGAAGCGCCAGACCGAGAGACGTCTGTGCCAAAGGGAGGACTATCAGACTGACACAAAAACCAAGTATTCCAAGATTTCCAACTTAAAATGCTAGGGTAGTGGTATCAGCAGCAATAGGAAATTGGAAATTAAAATAGAATGAATGAAGCTAAATAGTATCATAAAGTGCTTTCGTGGGGAGTGACTCATGCAGAGCGGGGGAGACAACCTTCCGGAGAGTTAGGGAGGTGGTCAGTTAGGTCCTTTTGACCAAAGGACATCCACGTGTGGCTCTTCTGAGATCAATTGAAAAACAGTTCGGGAGCCTAAGTGAGGGGCCACAGCTAGAAGGCATAGTTGTCCCAGAATTTCAGAGCTGAAAGGCATCTCTGGAAGGCACATAGGCCACTCTACCACTGTACACAAGGGGACTCTGAGAAGGGTCCCTTGCCCAAGTCAGACTGCCAGTAACCCTCACAGCCAGAGCCGATCCAAATCTTTTGATTTTTAGTATTATATCCACCCTGCCATAGTTGTTTCCAAGTATTTTCACACAGATGGTAACTGAAGCCATGAGATTCTCAGCAGTCAACATTTTTAATTATTCTTTCCAGCCTAAAGGCAGTGTCAGGGGACATACTATGACGACAGTGGGCACTGTTTTATAAAGTAGAGTTCTTGCCGAAATGACACCATCTAAATTTTACCGGAACACTTGCGTCTGCTCAGTCCGGTGGTCATTCTAAGACCCAGGATGGCCCGCTGCTTTCAGGCTCTAGAGCTCTGCATGTTTCAAATGATTCTGGGCCATATGCCCAAGCTTCTGATTTTGTTTTTTGACTGCATTTCATTTATTTCTACTACTCATAGAAACAAATCCTGCAAGATTAGATCATCACAGTATGTCTATAACGGTTTAAATATCATATAAGCCTGGCAGTGCCATCAATATTTTTATTTATTTATATATTTATATATAAATAAAATAGACAAAAACCATATATGTAGTTGATAGTCTCCACTGTCATTTTTGCCCTCCTGCACAATATAGCAAATGTTTTCACCAAGGATGCAAAAAAGTGGGTGCAGCTCTCCTAAACATTAGTTAAAATAACCAGCGACAGACTGAACACATGCCTATTGTGCTCAGTGCAGGGATGTCTGCTGACACAGCCACGTTCATAGTTGAGCGCAAGTCGCAGCTAATTGCAGAGCCCACTCGACTGTGGCTCTGCCTCGTGGCCCCTTCCAGTGCGCTCCATGCGGATAATGGCGTGAATGACGGCAATGCAAACCGACAGGGTTGTCTCTGAACAGAAAGGGGAGAAACAGGAAATCATCTGCCCTATTTATTGCAAATTCTCTGCTTTCACGTACCTTCTGAATCAGTCTAAGCAAGCCAAGGCACATTGTAAAGTTTGATGCCTTAGCAAACTCAAAGTACTGGCTGAAAAAAATTATGATTCAACAACTGCTGGAAATGTGAACAGCTCATAATTTCAAGGGTCACCAAGATTACAGCTTCACAGGGAACTCTTGTGTCCTCTGCACTCAGAACTGCCCGACCATTCCGTGCCATCATTTGGATTCCCCTCTGGGAGCGCCCTTTCCAGGGTCCCGGTAGTGCCCTCCCCAGCTCACCAAAAGATCACGTGCCCCTTAGAGATTTCGCTTCTTCCTCCACAGTTTCGCTTTGAAGGTATCTCCCTCCCCAAGCGCTCAGGACACAAAGCTGGCACTGTGAGAAGTAGGAAAGCCTGCACTCTTCTGTAAGTGATCTGGCATTATCTTTTTTTCAGAGAAACCCTGAATTCTAGGCCACTCTGGCTGTGCCTCAATAGTACTTTAGTACTTAGCAAGAGTCATGTAATTTGGTAAACAAAATAGGAAAATACTCAACACATGAAAAAGAAAGAACTATTTACAAATTTATCTCCAACTTTTGGCAGGAGACAATACCCAAATTTACGTATTTGGTCTAGAAACTCTCCTTTCTAGAAATCACAACTTCAAATATTTTCATTCTGAACTTAGATGTCTAACAATTTCTTCTCACTCTGTCAATCCATTTTTTAAACGCCTTATTCTGGAGTGTATGTTGTGCCAAATGTGCGAGAGCAAAGTGTGCCCTGCACTGCATCCCACAGCCCTCCTTGGCCACCTCTGGGTTGGGTAAGGGAGGCCATCAGTGGGGTGATTCTTGGCTCTTATCTCCTGCCTGGATGGAAAGCACCAGGAATCTGGCCAATCTGCTGCCATGAGAGTAGGTAAGAGGACCCTCTGGGTAATGGAAGTCCAATCGACAGCAAGGCTTCAGCCACGTCACCCAGTAACTGGAGCTCTGCAAGTTGGGCAAATTCAGAAAGCACAGCAAAGATACTCCATTGCCAACTGTGGGCCACAGGCACGGAGGCTGGGCTGTGGGGTTCTGGGGCCCTGGGTCCTCCGGTGGGCCTGGTCCTGACCAGGGTCAAGAGAGCATCATGACACCAGCATCCACGTGCAGCCTCATCACTGCCACTGTGGCGAGAGGGCACCCACGTAGGTGCCACTACTGTAGGACGTCCTGTCCTTCCAGCCCCTCACCTCATAGAATGGACCCATGTATAAATGAAGAGAGACAAAAAGCACCTGTGGCCATGCTGCTGCTGCTGCTGCACACAGCTTCCTCCCGAAGGTCCCCAAGCTCTCGCTGGGGAGCACGAGTCTCTCCATGATGGCCTGATTCCTCTTTGCTCCCTTCTCTTCCCATCCCTAGGATGATGGAGGCTGCAGCTAGTGCCAAGGACCCGACTGCTCGCTTTTATTTCAGTACCAGAACCATGGGATCCAAAAGTCGAAAGGCACGTCACAGGCCACCAACTCAGCCTGACATTCCTGCGGAGTGCCCACTCCTGACCAGGCTCCTCACACCACCGCTGTGAGCCAACATGGCAGTGGAGCCCTTCTGATGTACATGTCACACACCCTTGGATAGCATAGTTTATACTTGCCTGGATACTCGGTGAACACAGGTTGAATCTACCAGCAGAAATGGTGGATAAGTTTACTCAGTTAACAAGGTGGAGATGTGCTATACCATACAGCTGCTTAATTCAGGTTCAATCTCAGTTACACCATGCTTACCCATCTCACTAACCCATCCATTACATGGGAATTTTCAGGACAAAAGCTAGAGAATGAGAAGCAAATAAAATAGATAGTTCTAAAAATATTTAATTTTTTTTCAGTCTTTTTTAAAAACCTGCCCCCATAAAGGTAATAGAAAAAGGCTCTATAAATCTATGAAAAGTTTTCCTCGTCTCCCTACAGCAGTTACAAAATAACCTTCAAACCATCTGTAACAAAGAGAGATGGAATTTTTAGGATCCAGCAAAACACCTGGATCTATGGACAGACTTTTCTTTGAAAGGTTTAAAACTCTGAGGAACAAGAAAACAGTCTTAGAGGCCCTTAAAAAAAAAGTCAAGTCATTTCCAGAATTAAGAAAACAACCAATGCTACCACTACTTATATTACTTGAGAATAGACCAATTTTCTCATCATTTGAGTACTAGTTTCATTTCTCCTATCCAGAAGTATATACTGCCTTCCCACTTAACAGAAAACAAGCATGATTTATTAAAATGATTGAGAAGTTAAAGATGACAAGAGAAACCACTGCTAAGTATTAACAGAACATATTACATTTCAGATGATAACAATTCTCATGCTTAAAGATCACAAGTTCTGGAAGAATACTCAAAGACTATTTTTAAATGTTTTGTTTTGTACGGTAGTATGGGTTGGCAATTCTGAAACTACATTATGAGTATTCTAAGATTGAACAAGTAAAGATATTGTGAATAATGAGTGGCCAATTTCTGATAGTTAGAGCGGGGAGTTAGGACGTGGGAGAATGAGAATGAACACTGTGGGGCTGAGCTGGAGTCCGAGACCTCAGTATGACTTTGTGATTTTTTGGGCATACAGAGATGGATACAAATAGAGGTAAAATAGAGATATATACAGAAAAACAGAAGCTGAAAAGTAGAGAAAGATAAAAAGCTAAAGAGAGAGGGAAATGGAGAGTTACAGAGCCAGATAGGTAGGTAGAAATATAGAGAGATGTGTGTACATACCCACACACATTTATTTCCTTGCTCTGTCCATTGAGAGGGCCTAGAAGTAAGGATAAGCCTGTGGCAATGGGCTTGGTTTCTAAATACAATTCTCCACTAGAAGTAAGCAGGCCTCCTTGAGAAAGTGGCTTTCTCCAAGATTGGAACAGGGAACATTAACAGATGAGCCTGTAGCATCTTACTGGGCCACAAAGCACAGTAGTGCTCAAAGAATGACGGGGACATGTCAAAGCGACACAGAAGTCATCCCGAAGAGGTTCCCACTTGCCACATCAAGGACAATTTGAGTAAAGAAATAAATGGTCTTAGTGATGAATTATAACCCATAGAACATAATAAGAATTTGAGTCTACACTGACATAAATAATAAAAAAGAGAAAGCTCAGCTTTACAGAATAACTTCAAATGTTAAATGTAGAAGAAATGTCACAATTAGAAAGATAACCATTTGGTTACCACCGGTGTGATAATGCCAAAGGTGAGAATCATCAAAGGATGCTAACGCTAGCAGGTGTATGCATGCTAACGAGGGTACGTCACACAGCCTCAAAGCATCTCCCCATATCTTTTAACTGAACAGGGGAAACAGTGACTTCACCATAAAGAACAAGACAGTTGTCACCTTACCAAGTTATCAAATTTAGCATCACCAGTCATGGGGGCAAAAAAAAAAATCTTGTGCCTCCTGATGTGACGCACTAAGGGGGACACCTCAGCACTTACACAGTCTTCCTGCCACAAATGCATAATGGAATCTAATCTTAAGGAAACGTCAGACAGCCTCAAACTGAGGGATGTACAAAATACCTAACTTGTGCTCTTTGAAAATGTCAAGGTCATGAAGGGCAAGGAAGGACTAAAGAGCAGTTTTCAGATTACAGGTGATTAAAGAGAGATGACAGTTAAATGCTCTGAAATTTTGGATTGGATTCTGGACTAGAAAAACAGATTTTTTAAATTATAAAGGCCATTAGTGAGAAAACTGATGAAATCTGAATGTCTATAAAGTAGTTAATGAGATGTCAATATTACATTCCTGATTTCCATAATTACACACTGCTGTGCTGTTTTTAGTAAATACTCTCTGAATTATTTGGAGGGAAAAGGCATCCTATCACTAGCTTACTTTTAAAACGATCAGAATAAAACATCTGCATGTGTGTGTGTGTGTGTGTGTGTGTGTGTGTGTGTGTGCGCAGAAAGAGAATGATAGAGCAAATGTGGTAAAATGTTAATATTTGGGGAATCTGCGTAAACAGTATATGGATCATCTTTGTACTAATTTTGCAATTTTTTTGTAAGTCTTAAGTTATTACAAAATAAAAACTTTACATACTTTTTAACTCACCATTTGTCCACAGAAACCAAGAAAATTATACTCATTCAGTTTTCATCATTAGCTTCTTCTGACAAACTGAAATCACTTGTTGTAACAATAATTGACTGTAACAAGTCATAATAAACCCTGATACAAGCAGCTATAAACTAAAGAGAAAACACCTCTTGTCCATCCTTCTCTTGAAGTTACATTTAGAACAAGCAAGCCTCAGAGACAATAAGCAACTTGTATTGAAAGCAGCAATGTATCAGGGAAAGCGCTCTTAAAATTCCAGCTCTGAGTTATGTGACATGAGTTAGATAGGTTATCAAAGCCCTCTGGGCCACATCTGAAAAACAAAGGGGTTCTATGAGATCTTCTTTGTGGTCTATTCCAATTGTTATGTCTTAAGTATCTATAAATGAATTTCATAATAAAAAATACTTACTGCTTTCTTTATAATTTAAGAATAAAGTATAGATCACACTAAAATAAAAAATCGAAGTTCAGATTTAACAGCAACAAACGAGACTGGAAATATTCATTAACTATGTATCCTGATTCTTTCCTCCACATTAGATCCTGAAGCAGGTGACCCTGGGCCTGCACAGTATTTGGCTGTTCACTTATTTCTTATATTCAGGAAAATAAGAATTTCCTTGTGCTTCTGAATTTCTGTAGCTTAACCGGCTTCACCAGCAAGCATATCCAAACATCTTGATCTTCAGACTCTTGGGCATGTAAACATGACAGTTAATCCCCAAATCTGTGGCAGGCAAATAACAGCTATCTTATCTTTTAAAATATGATATACTCAATGAGATCATTTGAATGGACTTTTTTCTACTATTCTAGAGAAAATTCAGTGGTACTCTAAACACAATTACTATCCAATAAGTATTATTAACTGTTATTCAGCTGGCTTTAATAAATAAAATCAGGCGAATAACTTAATTGTCATGCCTGAATTGCTAATGCTTTTTTGTTGTTGTTGTTATCATTATTAAAACAGAACACTGTACTGTAACACTGTAATTATTTAAGTAATAAAAAAGTACAAAGGAATATAATCAATATAATTGTAACATCTTTGTATGCTCCCACATGGTAACTATACTTATTGTGGTGAGCATTTAGTAATGTATGTAATTGTGGAATTGCTACATTGTACACCTGAAACCAATATAATAATGCATCTCAACCATCCTTCAATGAAAAATAATAAATAAAAGTACAAGATCTAAAGCAAATGATTTTTTGCAGTGGCTACTCACCTGAGAGCTCTTACCACATTTAGCATCTCCTGAAATGATCACAATTTGGTTTTGAAGCAGATTCTCCATAAAGGAATATTTTTCTTTCCATATTGGAAGATCTTCTCTTTCTTTCAGAAGTTTATAATACCGTGATGAATACGGCAGTCCATCAAAAGGGTTAACTTCCAAATCCTCACAGGCCACGATGCCCTCCTCATCCGCATCACTGGAATCGAGGGATTCAGGGAAGTAGCGTTTTTCAGAGGAAGAGTTTAGACTTTCCAGGTCCCCTTCCATCTTGTCCAGTGGTGAGCTTAAGCAGCTGGCATTCTACAACCAAGTTTCTCTTGCAACATCCCACTGCAAATAGGGTTGAAAGTCTGCTTATTTAAACTCAGATGTCCCAGGCTCTAACTTCTGTTACAGGTTTCTGCAAGTTGAATTGGTCAAATCTGCGCCTGTCCTTTGCCTTGCTGCCTACTAGCATGCTCTCTGCAGCACGCTAAATGATTGTCAATAAACCACACTAAAAACAAACAAAAAGAAGGAAAATCAAGTATACACGCATGATGTTCAAAAGAAAATCCAGAGGCATTTCAAACAAAAGAGTTATTTGTTTCTGTTAACTGGTTACTGCCTTGTCATTTCTGCTGCATGTTTTAAAGACCAGAAATAATTCAGACTCTTACTAAAGTTTGGTGGGCTGCAATATTTTCTGGCCAGTTTGGAAAATGGTTCCTTACTGGACCTGGTGCTCTCTGCCTGACCTCTCTTGCAGGCCCCGGCGTCTTGACTGACAGGGAACAGAAAGCAACAGGGGGCCATTGTGATTGTGAGCTTGGTCACATGCCCACTAATCCCATTACAAAGAGATGCTGGGCCCTGTAAAAGGGGAAATTGTGAGCGTCTGGTGAGTGTTCCCCTAACACTGGCTACAAAAAAACGTTTTTTTTTAAATTAAGAAATCCTCTAGTTGAAAGAAGAATTTTTTAAAACTTCATTTTTTATTTGCTTGTGCCAGTTTACAAAGTCAATTGAGGGAAGTGAATTTATTATTTTTTTCCATCTGAGGCTATGGCTGGCTTTCATTAGTAAGGTCTTTTGTTTGCTTAATTAAACCAGAAATGTCAAGCATATTTCTTGAGATTCCAGGGTCTTGAGCCCACCATGTCAGATTCAAGAGGCTGTAAAAGACAACATTTAATTTAAATGAAGAAGAGAAATTACCTAAGAAGGAGCAAAATTTAGACCAGAAACTTACTCCTCAAAATCCAGTGTTGCTAGAAATAAACCTTTTTTCATATTACCCAGGTGAAAACTAAAAAGACAGAAAAAGTCAAGTAAAAAAGAATAAATCATAAAATACAGCTCATGATATTTTGTCTTTAAATTACCTTTTTTTACAGCACTCACTTACCCTGCTTTACACGGAGAGTTAGAGAGTGAAGGGGCCACTCCTCTCCTTACGTGGCACTGGTCAAGCCACACTCCAGAGGAAGTCGATCAAGAAACACTTGTTGGGCCCAAATTAATAAACTAGGCACCAGGCACATGTGTGTGGACACTCTGGGGGTAGGACCCAAAGCAGGACAGAACTTGTAAAAACTCACACACGAATGGACCAAAAGAGGGAGAAATGAATAACCAGAAGAGGGAAGGATGTGTCAGGTCTACACAGGCAGAGCTCACAATTCATTCTGAAAGTGACCGTTTCAGAACCGAAGTGGAATTGTGAGACGTGCTGACACAAGGGCCGTGTGGATTGACTCCACAGCCTGTGACCGCCCTTCGGCAGAAACCAGATCCATGCAGCAGCTCCAGGAATCATAGTAGCTTGAGATCACAGGATGAGTGGACTTCAGGTATCCAAGAATCAGCAAATTCTACTGCTTAAGAAGTTACCAGTTAATTAATTTCATATTCTACTCTTCTTTTCTTTTTTTTGATTCTAGTTAGAATTCTTTCCAAGGGTTCTCATCCTACACATAGATTAAATTTAGGATCAATGATTGCCTGAGGTAGTGCTATTTCTGAACTGCTTTACCTTAAAAAAAAAAGTGCACAGCTATTATTTTTAGCAAATACATGCCCTTGAAATGTTTAATTTTACAATATGCCTTAAAAGTGCAATAATCTTACAATTAAAATAAAATCTTGAAGAACTGACCACTCTGAACACTTGGGGAATGATCAAGTTTTCTGAAGTCATCTTTGTAGACTTAGGGCTCACTGAGCCCTTTTGTCACACACACAGTGTGTACAGACACACCACCCACTTCTCCAGAGTGGAGCAAAGATGGCCACAGGTCCCTTGCCCCTGCTCCCATGGAGACGCAGAGTCTGTTTGCTGCCCCCTGAGTCTGGGCTGGCCCAGTGACTCACTATGACAGAAGGAATACAGTGAAGTGATGCCGAACCACTTGCAAGGCTTGAAGCACTCCCCTCGGAACCGGAACCAGCTCATCCTGGGAGATGCCCAAGCCATTGGGGAGGCCCTGGGAAGAGACCAAAGCTGGCCTCTGTTGACAGAAGGCACAGGCCGCCAGCCATGTGGGTAAAGCCGTGGAAGGTGCTCCAGCCCAGTCAAGCCTCCAGATGATGGAGGCCCAGCAGCGCCAGCACCCATGGAGCCCAGTCAGCCCGAATGGTGACAGGGAGCACATGGCCACGCTTGTAAGCTATGAAGTCGCAGGCGGGTTTCCCTTGCAGCAGCAGATAACCAAACCTATGCCTGCTAAACCACACTCACAGCTTAACTCATTCTTCCTGACTCAGGATCACGATTGCGTCAGTTCCTGTCAACAGAATGACGTCCTTAGATTTCTCTGAAGCACCCAGGGCCTGAAGGCCTGCCTGCTGCCCTGGGCCCTTCTCTCCCGGGGCTCAGGACCCACGTCATACTATGATCAGTATGCTCACCTAGTGAGGTGCTTCTCTGCTTCTCTAACCTGCTCTCCAACCTGGCACATTAGAAACCAGTTAGGCAGGTCTGACAGCAATACTAAAGGTTGCTTCCACAAAGCACTCTATATTGTAGCCAATCAGACTGAGCAGTAAAGCTATGAAGTTTGTTAATGTCTATTTCAACCATACAGAGGGACTCTTCGCTGCCTTGTGGTTTGAGCTGCAGATGTGGCGGGGGAGTGGCAGAGTTTTTGAACCCACTGGCTCACATAATACACACACACCTCTCCCCATTTACTTTATCATTGGCTGGGCCATGTCAATATTTTCTCCTAGATGCAATTAAATATATACAAGAGATCCATGGCTTGGCCTTTGGCAAATTTAATAGTACCAACCCAAACAGGGGAACCAGCAGTATGGTAGGCTATATGTCACTCAAAACAAAATTTAATAAAAATTGTTCTAAGTATAAACTATATTGCACTCTAAGAATTTTTAATCTGAAAAATTGGCATTTGCTCCTTTTCAAAGCTACCACGTATGTACATTGAAGATGGCACAGTTTGTCAAGGACTGCCTTTTGAAGTGAGTCTGTTATAACTCTTAAATGAGCACTTGTGAAAATAATACACACCTAATGTAACATTCAACAACCTCGACAAGAAAGAGTCAGAAGTTGAAGTAAGATGGGCTATGTCTTGGTCATTTATATGTCTGGCTCTGGCCCAGTAATCCTAGAAATACAATTCACAGAAAAGGAAGGATAAAGTTTGCAGGGGGTTATGTGAAACAAGATTGTGAAATTTGTCCAGAGTAACTCTTGGTTATATTTCACTATTCAATACTCCTTTTCTGCATTTTCTTCTGTGTTCAACTTAATATAAATGCATTCTTCACACCTATCAAATTCTCAATTGTACAAAGTGATGTGGAGAGATCTTTGCAGAGACCTGGAGATTTCCTGACATTTAATCTTGAAACCTCATCCGTTTTCTCTCTAGGCTACTAGTGCTGGCGCTGTTTCCTCCAGTCTCATGTCTTGAATGCCATCCATATGCGGAGGCCTCCCATTTCCATGTCCTGTGGATCCTCACTTCTAAACTTCAGTCTTGTGTATTCAACTACCCGTCATCTCCAACTCGGATGTTTAAGAACCATTTCAAACTGTACATGTTGGAAACTGATGTCCCGATATTTACCCCATAGTCACAAACTGGTCCTTCCATCTCAGTTACTTTCTTCCTTTCAATTACTCAGACCAGAAATTCGAAGGTATTCTTGATGTTCTGTCTTAAATCCCACATCCAACCCCTCAATGTGCTAGGCAGAACAACAGCCTCCGAAGATGTGCACGTCCTGGTAACTGGAACCTGTGAATATGTACTTTGTGTGGCAAAACAGACTACAGATGGGATTAAGTGAAGGACCTTGAGATGGGAGATGATCCTGGTGGTCTGATCTAACCACAAGGACCTTAAAGTCAGAGAACCTTTGCCAGCCACAGTACCAGGGAGACACGACTATGGAAGACTGCTCAGAGGAGGATGGAGCAGAGGAATGATGTGGGTGACCCCAAGAAGCTGACAAAGGCTAGAAACAGAGTCTCTTTCAGTCTCCAGAAAGGAGCACAACCTGCCGACCTCTGGATTTTAACTCAGCAAGACCCGTGATGGGCTTCCAACCCACAGAACTGGAAGATAATAAATGACCGCTCCATTTGTGGCAATGTTATTACAGGAGCAATGGAAAGCTTATACATCTGATCATTTCAGTTCTACCCTCCAAACGCATCGAGAATGCCATGACCTCCACTGTGAAGCGCTGCTCCAGCCATCACCTGGGTCACGGCAATACCACCTGACTCCCGGTTTCCTCTCTTAGCCCCTCAGTCAGTTCTCAACCCAGTTAGTGATCCTGTCTGTCAGCTCATCTTTCCCCTGCTCAAAAATGTCAAACGGCTTCCCATCTCAGCTTACTCAGAAAACAAGCAAAATTCTTTATACAGTCACAAGCCCTGTGTGGTCTGGACCCTCGCCTCCCTGCCCTCTCCCTCTTTCGCCCCCTCCTGGCCCCTCGCTAGTCCTGACCCACCATGGCATGTGCCTGCACAGGGACATTGTCCCTTCTCTTCTCTCTGCCTGAAATGTCCTCTCCTCAGGTATCCATATGGCTGGTTCCCTTCCTTTGCGCAAGTTTTTATCAAAGGTCAGGTCACTGAGGGCTTCTGGCCACCCTGTCTAAAGTTACCCACCCCTGTGCCCTCAAACCACTTTCTGGCCTCTTTTCCTGTTGTTTTTCCTCCTTAACACTATACATGGTTTAACATAATATATATATTTTACCTCTTTATTTTGTTTATGGTTAGTGTCATCCACCAGAACCGGAAGTACCAGGAGGTGAGGATTTGTGTCTATTCTGCTCCCAGTATCCTCAACGGAGCCTGGCACACATTAAGCATCTGATAACTATTTGTTGAGTGAATGAATGATGTTAGCACTTCAGAGATATTTTTGTTCACTTTTCCAAGGTGCCCAATATTAAGTCAATGACCAAGTCTTTAAAACTTCTCAGGATTCTTACCCTCCATTTCCCTAATCCTTCATGCCAAGATGCCTGTGACAATCTACTGTCCCCTTAGTCCCTCTACCACAGTCCATCTTGCATATATTTGCACTTCCCTTATTTCACTTTTCTCAAAGTTCAAGGTAGCTCACTACTGCTGACTGAGTGAAGTTTAAACACTTTTGTCAGGAGTTCGCTGTTTCTGGGCTTCTGCAACTTTTCTGTTCCCTTTCATTGACCATATAAGATAGATTCCTATTCTTAATGGATATGGCCTGAAATTTTAGTGATTCCCCAAATTCACAAACTGAAGTACTTGTACAGGCTCTTGGTTTTCCCTTGAATCATACACCCAAACCACAAATTGACTTTTACAACACTAAAGTTATTTTTTTCCTGATCCCTTTAGAAGAGTTATTGTGTGGAAAATAACAGCCGCACAGAGATTCAGACAGTGGCGTGCATCATGCTGGTCCAGCAGGCCACTGAACTTTGGGGCTGCTTGTAAATAACCAATCCTGAGGGGCAAGAGCCTACATAGAAGGGAACTACAATACTATCTGTGCTATTTACTACCCTTCCCCCATATTTTTAGTCTCTTTACTTGACTGTTACTGGAGCTATTGTCTTCTTTGGTAGTTCCACAGTCTGAACCCAAATACAGTGCATGCTCAGTTAGGAATTAGAGACTGAGTAGA